GTGACCAGAGGTGAGGAGGCGAGGAGAGCGGACTTCCTGCTCAGATTACTCAAATCCAGGGCACAGCAGGTCCCTAGGAGAGGCTGGAAGTCCGGGGCTTGGACTTCTTGGGACTCTCCTTCCCTCATCTCTGCTACATCAGAGCTCTCCCACTCGCCTCTTGTTTCATTCCGTCTTCCCCTCTCTCTCCTTGGATTTCCTCTGCTTGTGAAGGAAACTTTTGGCTGCCAGCAGCTCTCCAATTTGAATCTGCTCCATTAAAGTGACCCACAGCCCTAACCCAGAATCTCTTGGTTCCAACCTAAAAGGCCAACAGATCAGAAAGCAGAGCTTGACACTGCATTTGCATGGCCATTTACATAAGGCTGAGTCAATTGCCTACAATAAAGCATGGGTGTCCTCAGCAATGAACATCAGGGGATTTGGAAAGGAGGGTCGTGGAAGCCCTAACCACTCTCAGAGGTTCCAGGGCCCTGATCCCCTCACTGTGCCAGGACATAGGAAATGGCTCTTAGAAAAGGCAGCCTAGAAGCCCATTCCACTTTCCGTGTGAGTTGGGTGAAGAGGTAATCCTGGGAAAAGTGGTGAATGGGGAGAGGATGCTGAGCAGAAAAATCAATAGATGCTCAGTGCAAAGTTGTTAATACTTTGCCTTAATACTTAAGGCAAACAGCATCCATAGAGGGTACCCCATACTCATTTCTGGCATTTGCTGTAGTCCCAAATATTTCAACAGAAACTTAGTTCACTAGGAATCTCTCATCTAACACTGGAAACAGAAGCACATTCAGAGGATGAGTGGGACGGCAAAGGGGTAAGAGACTGCACCCAGGAAAGCTGCATCTCCTTCTTAAATTGTGTCTGGTTAGCCTAGCTATGGGGGCTTCCCTGATAGCTCAGTTGGTAAAGAATCCACCTGCAATGCAGGAGACCCTGGTTCGATTCCTGGGTCCGGAAGATCTGCTGGAGAAGGGATAGGCTACCCACTTCAGTATTCTTGGGCTTCACTGCTGGCTCAGCTGGTAAAGAATCCGCCTGCAATGGGGGAGACCTGGGTTCGATCCCTAGGTTGGGAAGAGCCCCTGGAGGAGGGNAACCCACTCCAGTGTTCTTGCCTGGAGAATCCCCATGGACAGAGGAGCCTGGCAGGCTACAGGCCATGGTGTCACAAAGAGTCAGACACGACTGAGTGACTAAGCATGCAATCCAGGGAATGAAAGACAGAAGTAAGGATGGACATAGCTGCTGCCCGTGAGTGTGCAATGCGCTGGGGTTCACAAGGGAGCTGGATGACCTGTATGACCCCTGCAGGCAGAATTGGGGCAAAAAGGTAAAATGTACCGGATTACAGATTTTTTGACCCAATATATGACAGAGCTGCTTTTTAGGGATTGGAAGGAATGGATAGCCCATGGTGCTAACTTGTGAGGGAAATTGGGTTAGAGGAGTCCTAAAATTGCTTGCTCCTTGGAAGAAAAGCTATGACCAACCGAGATAGCATATTAAAAAGCAGAGACATTACTTTGCCAACAAAGGTCCATCTAAGGCTGCTGCCCGTGAGTGTGCAACGCACTGGGGTTCACAAGGGAGCTGGATGACCTGTATGACCCCTGCAGGCAGAATTGGGGCAAAAAAGTAAAAATGAACTGAAAATTGCTTCCAATCTTTGAGTGATACCCCCAGGGCTGACCCTGTTCACTGGGTCACAAGCCCTCCTTTTATGGGGCCAACCGGAAGTGTTGCCATCCATGGCCCCTGGAGAAGATGCTGGACACAGTGTCCTGCAACAGGACTCATCCAGGGGGCTGGAAAACCACTCCTTGTCGATCTTAAGAAGAGCCATGGAAGGTGCCTTCACCTGTGTCCCCTTACATAGGCTCTGTAGTGTACGAGAAAGGTTTGAGGACTTCCACTTCACAGACCTTCCGTGGACCTCATCACCATAAGGGTCCACCAGTCAGGAAACAGAACAGTTCATCCTGGGATATTCAGATGATGGAGTGCTATGTTGGTGAGATATACATCCAGGTATAGATAAATCACAACAGGATACATCTCAAAAAACAAAGCTGTATAAAAACAAAACTATAGAAAAAGACCCACTATATCATGAATGAAACTCTTAAAAGCTGATATAAAACAATACATGTGCCCATAGATATATATGCAATATATAAATGTATGAAAAAGTGACACATCAAATTAATAACAACAGTTGCCTCTGGGGGTGAGGAGGGAGAAAGGATTGGGATTGGGCAAAGGTGGTCAAAGAGAAGTTCAGAGGTATTTGTCCTGTGTTTCCCTGGTATTTATAAAAAAGCAAACCCAGCAAAATGGGAGCAACTGTTAAACCTGGTTAAATGGAAGGTGGGTGTTTGCTCTACTGAGAGACAGAGACAGGAACAGACTGAGGCCCCAAGAGACTAAACAACTCTCCACGTCACCTGGGATGCAGCCTGAAATGCATTTTCCAGGCTGTGTGCCTGGCAGAAGGTGGGTTCCGATCCAGTTCTGCTCAGCTACCTCCTATGCCTCACGCTGGCCTGGAACCATCCTGCCCGATGGCCCCGCTGTGTCTGCCCAGCCCCCACCACCACCATTCATTGTCTGGAACCCCAGCAACCTCAACCCTTAAGAACAGGGAAGATTCCAGAGGTCAGGAGGGTGACTCGCTCAGCATCCCTGCAAGAGTGAGTGGGTCACATCAGAGCCCAAAGAAACATCAGCAATGGGAAGGCCAGGAGGCCAGGGAATGTGGGAACAGAGCAGGGCAGAAGCTGTAAATCAAATGTTCTCAGCCTGACAACTCACCACCCTGGAGATGCCCGCCTTCCATCTCAGTTCCCAGAATTTCTTGCTGGGAGGAAGAGGGTCCAGCACGGCATGGAACAGGTTTGATCTCCCAGGCAGGGGTTCTCAGCTATAGGACTGGTTAGCATGCATGTTCCCCAGCTCAGCTCAAGGGTGGGTCTGTGGGGTCAGGGATCCAGGTGGAGGCGCTCCTCAGACAGGCGTGCTCCTGTGGACAGATACACAGTGGGGAATCCCAGATCACAGCCCAGTGCCATGAGGGAGACTAAGTCATTCTGATCATCAAGAATGGGAGAGATGTTTTGCAGGTAAAGAGAACTGTGACTGGAGGAGATGGATGTGGCAGGCAAGGAAACCAGCTATGCAAATGAAAGATCAGAGAGGTGCTCCTGGTGGTGCTCCCCTGCCTCTGGGTCTAGTAGTCCCAGGTTTCGAAGTACAGGAAGCCAGGGGCAGCAGGATACCTCCTGTTGGCGAGAGGGACACTGCAAACACCAGATAGCGTGCCAGACATTTCTCTACGGCCGCTCATTTCTTCAGCATTCCTCAGTCGACTCCTCCTTGGCCCGATGGAGAGGCTGTGGGTGAGGTCCCTGCTGTCAGGAGGATTGTACGTTAGGAGGAGAAAGCAGCAGAAAACAGGCAGACAGGTGCGTGAGATCAGTGTGTGCACAGAGAAGATAGGGGCTGCTGTGGCCGGAGCCGAGAAGGGAACCGGGAGACGCAGGGGGCTCAGAGCTGCACCCCTGGGCTTGGCGGTGCTGCCCACCCTCATGGCTGGAGGAAGCTGCCCATTCCTGCCCGCAGGCTGACCGGCTGGTCCTCCTGCTCCCCCCGCCGGGTCCTCTGACATCTCCCTGGACTTTCATGAGGTCAGTTCACCCTCTAGTGGACACATCTATGCCGTCATCCAAGCCACAACATTGAATGGGATTTTCCCTCCTCTCCCAGCTCAGTAATAAACTGTTCAGGGGTTCTGGAGTTCAGATGCCAAATGCCTGCTTCACAGATAGTGGAGGTTATAAAATGAACTGGGAGGAGGGGAGGGGCCCCGTGAGAGAAGGAACCAGGAGGTGCCAGACCTAGTAGCCTCGCACCCCTAAGTGGGCTCGGCGGGGACTTCATGGAAGGAAGAGGGCACGTTGTTAGCTAGACAGGGGCCTCTGGGGCGGGCAGGCAACACCAGAGGCCAAAAGGCACCGACTGAGTGTCCAGGAGGGAGGAGACGGTGGCTTCACGGAACAGAGGCAACTCTGGTCCTCAGAAGCTACCTCCATCCTGCTTGGGCTCTGAGGGATCTTGTCACAAGGACAGGTGACTGTCGCAGGAGAGGGGTGTGCTCCCAGGGCATAGAAACACACACAGATGTGGAGCATCTCACAGCGCCCGCCCCGCTCTGCCCAGCCCAAGGCATAGCACTCCATACCACCCCCAGCCCCGCCTCGTAGTCAAGAACAGATTTTCCTCCATCAGAATGTGTGCTTCTGTCCCAGACAAAGGAAGCATTGGGAAGCAAGTGGCAGAGTAGGTTGCAAGGAACCTGGCTTGAAGCTACATGTGGGCCACGTGGGGGCCAGCAACCACACTCCCAGAAGGTGGGATAGGGGCTTTCATTTTATTTCAGGATGAACCCTGCAGGTTTGAGCCTGCTGGAGCATCTCCTCCTCGGGAGGGTCTAAAGACAGCCGCCTCTCACCTTCGCCCGGAACACCTGTCTTGAACCTGCAGTCTGAGCCAAAGGAAGCAGAAAGGGGCAATGCTGAAGGCCAGTGTGGGTGAGCGGAACCCAAGGTCATTTTCTGGGTCAGACAGGTGCTTCCTTTGGCTCGAGGGCTTAATTGTGAGTTCATGTTGTTCAGGTGTTTGTTTTTAAACTTTAATTAATGGGCTGTTTTTGAAGGCAGTTTTAGGTTCACAGCAAAACTGAGCAGAAAGAGTTCAGAATAGTTTCATTGCCCGAAAACTCCTCTGTGCTTCACCCATTCATCTCTCTCCCTTTTAACTCCTGGCAGCCCCTGACTTTATTTTTTTTTTTTTTTTTTTTTACTGTCTCCAAGGTTTTGCCCTTCCCAAAATGCCATATGGTTGTAATCATACAGTAGGTAGCCTTTACAAATTGGCTTCTTTCATTTAGTAACAAGCATTTAAAGTTCTCCGTATCGGCTCCCGGGGCGTCGCCCCGTGTGCGCTGGAGTCACCGAGGCCACCCTTGGCACCGGAAGTGACCCTGGCGGGTCTGCCTTCAAATTGTGGGCTACTTGAAACAGCATCTGGGGCTCGTGACGGTTGGACCAGGCAGTGCTGGGTCCGTGAGCACAGAGCAGGGTGGTTGGGGCAGGACAAGACAGGGCCCTCCTTCCTCGCTGTCCGGAGCCCCACTCGGCCCTCCCCCTCCGCCCGGTAGTGGGCGGTTTCCCGAGAGCCTCTGCGCCACAGCTTGTAGTTGAGCATGAGTCTTCTTATGATTGGTGAGAATGTGAAGTTGGCCCGTGAATATGCATTGCTGGGAAATTACGACTCTGCAATGGTCTATTATCAGGGAGTTCTTGACCAAATGAACAAGTATCTGTACTCAGTCAAAGATACATACCTCCAGCAGAAGTGGCAACAGGTTTGGCAGGAAATAAACGTGGAAGCGAAACACGTTAAGGATATCATGAAAACACTAGAGAGCTTTAAACTAGACAGCACTCCATTAAAAGCTGCACAACACGAGCTTCCAGCATCTGAGGGAGAAGTCTGGTCCTTGCCCGTACCTGCCGAACGAAGACCATCACCAGGACCTAGAAAACGCCAGTCTTCTCAGTACAGCGACCCTAAACCACAGGGTAACCGTCCAAATACAGCTGTCAGAGTTCACCGTCCATCCACACACAGTCTTCACAGTGACAGAGGGAAAGCTGTTCGTAGTCGGGAAAAGAAAGAACAGAATAAAGGAAGAGAGGAAAAGAACAAATCACCTGCTGCAGCTGCAGAACCAGAGGCAAATAAATTTGATAGTACCGGGTATGGTAAGGACCTAGTAGAAGCTTTGGAAAGGGATATAATTTCTCAGAATCCCAATGTTCGATGGGATGATATTGCTGATTTAGTAGAAGCTAAAAAGTTGCTTAAGGAAGCTGTGGTGTTACCAATGTGGATGCCAGAATTCTTTAAAGGCATTAGGAGACCATGGAAAGGAGTGTTAATGGTGGGCCCACCTGGCACAGGAAAGACCTTCCAAATACAGAGGAGAGTCTGAGAAGCTTGTTCGTCTTCTGTTTGAAATGGCTCGATTTTACTCTCCAGCTACTATATTTATTGATGAGATAGACTCCATCTGCAGCCGCAGAGGGACTTCTGAAGAGCACGAGGCAAGCAGAAGGGTGAAGGCCGAGCTGCTGGTTCAGATGGACGGTGTTGGAGGTGCTTCTGAAAATGATGACCCTTCCAAAATGGTTATGGTTCTGGCAGCTACTAATTTTCCCTGGGATATTGATGAGGCTTTAAGACGACGTCTTGAGAAAAGAATCTATATTCCATTACCATCAGCAAAAGGCAGGGAGGAGCTATTACAAATAAGTCTCCGTGAGCTGGAATTGGCTGACGATGTTGACCTTGCAAGTATAGCAGAAAACATGGAGGGTTATTCGGGTGCGGACATTACCAACGTGTGCAGGGATGCATCCTTGATGGCAATGAGAAGGCGTATTGAAGGTTTGACCCCGGAAGAAATCAGAAATCTTTCAAGAGAAGAAATGCACATGCCTACAACTATGGAAGATTTTGAAATGGCTTTAAAAAAGGTTTCAAAGTCAGTGTCTGCTGCAGACATTGAAAGATATGAGAAATGGATATTGGAGTTTGGATCATGCTAAATTCTCACATGTAAACTGTGAGCAACCTTGCATTAAGTGTTTGAATAATTAAATGTAGTATTTCATTGCACCAAGCGCTATATTTTTTTAAACTTTCGTTATGGTAAGAGTGAAAAAAAGTATGATTCTGAATAAAGGCAATTTTTTTCAAGTTACAAAAAAAAAAAAAGTTCTCCGTATCTTTTCATGGTTTGACAGCTCATTTTTTTAGCATCAGGTCATATTCCACTGTCTGGATGTGTCGCCACAGTTTGTTTAACCATTCAACTACCAAAGAATACATCGGTTGCTTCTAAGTCTTGGTGATTATGAAGCTGTTAAAACCCCCATGTGCATGCTTTTGTGTAGACAGGATTTTTCTTTCTAGATGCTTCTGTTTTCACTCTTTGTGGATTTTCAGCATAAAGTAATATTTACTGATGAGAAAACTGTGTGACAGACATCAATCCCTTGTTCCACCCGAATCCACGAAAGGGACTGGGCTTGGGATTCCAGACCAACTAAGCCACCAAGACAGAAAGAAGCGCTGGGCCACTGTGGTGGGAGCCCGCGCCCAGGTTCAAGAGGCAAAAAGCCTGATTTTGACTCTGCCCTGGCTTTAGTGTGTCGTTGAATGAGGATAGCTGTCCCTCTGTGCTTCAATTTCCTCCCCTAAAAAGAGGGACTGCAAAGTTGACAAAGGTGCGCCATCAGAATTCCCTGGGATNTGTTCCACCCGAATCCACGAAAGGGACTGGGCTTGGGATTCCAGACCAACTAAGCCACCAAGACAGAAAGAAGCGCTGGGCCACTGTGGTGGGAGCCCGCGCCCAGGTTCAAGAGGCAAAAAGCCTGATTTTGACTCTGCCCTGGCTTTAGTGTGTCGTTGAATGAGGATAGCTGTCCCTCTGTGCTTCAATTTCCTCCCCTAAAAAGAGGGGCTGCAAAGTTGACAAAGGTGCGCCATCAGAATTCCCTGGGATGGCGGCTGTTAAGCCTTTCAGCACAGTGCAGGGCCCAGAAAACAGTGCTGGACAAAAGGTCACAGGAACAGGTGTACAACCAAGGTGAAAGGAAAAACTGGGGTTTCCCGGTGGTAGAGTGGTCGGGACTTGCTCCCCCAGTGCAGGGGTGCAGATCTGATTCCTGGTCAGGAGCTAAGATCCCATGGCTCATGGCCACACATCAACACATTAAAAAAACCACACACACAGAAGCAATATTGTAACAAATCAATAAAGACTTTAAAAATGGTCCACATTAAAAAGATTTTTTTTAAAGAAGAAACTGATTTAGCAAGCTCCTCATTCACTGCCCTGCCTTGAGAGATTCTTTTGAAACTCCTGCTCATGTTGATCTCCTTTCATTAATACAGGAGAGCAGCTTGGACTCTTTCCTACCCACTCCCCCTTTCTCAATTTCAGTCATTAAATGTCGGTGCAGTTAATTTACAAGGGGAAATACAAGGATGATAAACCAGGTAACAGCTAAAAACACTGAGGATTCTAATGAAAACCATCATGTAAAGTAATTAGCCTCCAATTAATTAATTAATTAAAAAACAAAGAATGTATATATATGTGTGTGTGTGTGTAACTGAATCACTTTGTACAGCTGAAATTAACATATAATTGTAAATCAACTATACTTCGATAAAATATTTTAAGCAATGTTGAAGATTCTTGACTGTCAGGATTTTGAAGCAGTTTGAAGTCAGTGTTAAGTGTTTTACTGATCTTCTCTCCTGGGGGTTTTAGGCTGTGTTCTTTAAGCTCAGCACCAGGACCAGGCCTTCAACGATGGAGCACACTGCTTACCCCGGGTGTTGTTGCAGAGCTGATGACTCTTCAGAAAAGAGCACAACAGAAAAAGCCCAGACATCTGGGAGTTGATGCCTGTACTATCTGTAAACAAGTGCTAGGCAGGCCTGCCCCAGGCTCTTTCTTACTGCCCACAGAGTTTATGACCTTCCTGGCCGGGGGTGGGGTGGGGAATATGGCCATGAACCCTTGAGAGCTTTCCTGTTTTGCAAAGTCATTCTCACCAAACAGTCACTCAGGTATCACTGCTTCAGAGATGGGTCTAATGAAAATTATACCACACTGGAAACGTGGCTCTTCAGCTTCAAATGTCACAGGACAGCATCAGCCAACGAAGACAAGGGCCTAGTGCTTAAGAGACGGCTTGACCCAGATACTTGGGTTCCAACGCAGCAACTTTACCTTCCTTCTTGCTGGGTGACATTAGGCTGGTTACTTAACTGCTCTGAGCCTCACTATCCTCATCAGAAAAGTGGGGATCCTATGGTGGTGGAGGAAGAGGAAGAGGAGATGGGATGAAAGAGGATCAGGCACTTCACCTACGAAAGCTCACCTGGCCCAGTGAGACACACGTAACAGAGAAATGTTTCCATAGAGCCTTCTGAGCCACTTAATTTTTCTTTAACTAATAACGCATTTGTTAACGTTGTTTCATTTGATGTTTGCTGATCCTTGGCGGGCACCACACGGAGGCAGTCACCTTCTAAAGGTCTAAATAAAACAGCCAAATCAAAGGTCCCTTGTGCCACAACTAAGACCTGCCACAGCCAAATAAATAAATATTACCAAAAAAAGAAAAAAAAGAGGGATGACTCTGCAAGCCAGCATCCTGATGACCCTCTCAGATCCAGCTGGTAAATGGTCACATCCCATGGGCCGGATCTCAAGACAGCTCCTCAGAACTGCATGGGCTCCCAGCAGGAGAGCTGGGCAGTGGCCTGTGGCGATGGCCCTGGGGGAGCTGCAGGAAGCCCTGTGGAGCAGGTGAGTCGCAGCTGCCAAGTGGGCAGGCACGGGGCAGGAGGAGCTGACCCGGGAGGGCAGGGCCGCGCGGCCGAGAGGACAGCGCTGAGAGCCGACCACCCGCCACAGCCCGGCTATCGGTGGCGTCATCAGAGTGGCTGCAAGTGGGGCCCAGACAGCAGGTCCTCTTCATTTTTTAAAAAAATATTTATGGATTATTTATGTCTGGCTGTGCTGGGTCTTTGCTGCTGCCCTCGGGCTTTTCCCCTAGTTACAGCGAGGTGCGGCTGCTCTCTAGTCACACGCACAGGCTTCTCTTGTTTCAGAGCACGGCAGTCACACGAGCATCAGAGGTGGTGGCGCATGGGCTGAGTTGCCCGGCAGGTGGAATCTTCCCAGACCAGGGATCGAACCCGTGCCCCCTGCGTTGGCAGGCCAATTCTTAACCACTGGATCACCGGGGAAGTCCTGCATTTCTTCTTGAAAATGCCTTTGCCCCAAGTCTTACAACCACTCAGCCTGAAGCTCCAGGCAATCCCACCAACTGATGGGTGCTGGCAGGACACAGTAATAACCTACTTGCGAACCTGGTGCCGTCACATCCCTGACCGCACATATGAAAGTGAAAGTGTTAGATGCTCAGTTGTGTCTGACTCTTTGCAACCCCATGGATAGCCCGCCAGGCTCCTCTGTCCACAGGATTTCCCCGGCAAGAGTACTGGAGTGGGTAGCCATTTCCTTTTCTAGGAGATCTTCCCGACCAAGGGATCGAACCTAGGTGTCCTGCATTGCAGGTAGATTCCTTACAGTCTGAGCCACCAGGGGGCTCCGACCTCGCTTATAACCACCTTCAAAGGGGAAGGCAGCTTTTACCATCATCTGGAACCTGCCCTGTCCACCTGCCCAGACACCGGCCCCCTTCTGCACAACCTCAGCAAACCTGGCCCTGTCTTCAGTGGCACTTACCTAAAATGGGCCCAGTGCCCTTGCCTGCCAATCAAAGCACGATCTCCGAGGCTCGGGCCTGTCTGAAGTGTAGACCGGGTGGAGACGAGCAGCACGCAAGTTCTCGTAAAAACATTCTGCCTTTCACCACACCCACCAGACATGGGGCACTCTTCCAATTTTCAGATGGAGACATAAAGCCAGAAAATAGCAGGTTCCTGTCCAGAGCTGCTGGCACGACCGCCACTCAGCTGGGCCTAGAAGGTGCAGCAAAGAGAGTTCTGCATTCAGGGCCTCTCTCTCGAAGCTTCCCGCAGGGCCCGGTGGGGATTGGCCAGCAATGCAAATGTGCCCTGTGATTGGTGGCTTAAGTTTTGCAAAAGCTGGAAGCGGAGGGCTGGAGCCTGGAGGGCTGAGATTGGGAGGTGGTGGATGGGCAGAGGGAGCTTTGCAGGAGACAGAGAAGTGGTTGGTGAAGGGCCCAAAAGGGCGAGGAGGAGACACAAACCCAGCAGAGAGGCTGAGCCCGCAGGGCCCCATGACCACCTTCTAGAATGGAGATGGATTTAAGCTAGACAGAGATGGAGGGAGCAGGGGGCTTGGTCCAAAGAAGACAAACATGGGCCGGGAGGCACCGTACAGAAGCCATGAGCTCAGACCTCCTGGGCTTATACCAGAGCCCCCACTTGCGAGCTCGGTGTCTTAAGCAAAAGGCCTAACTTCTGAACAGCCATTTCTTCACTGTCAGAGGAGATAAATGCAGTGTCCGCCTAGGGGCTGGACCGAGGACTCAACAACTAGCTAATAAATGCATGATGCTCAGCATGGCGTCTGTCGCACAGCAAGCACCCAACAGATGTCAGCTACTGTGAGTGTCATTAAACCCCAGAACAATGGCAGGCTTGTTGATATTGTTCAGTGCCTCAGTCGTGTCTGACTCCTGCGACCCCATGGACTGCAGCACGCCAGGCTTCCCTGTCTTTCACTATCTTCCAGAGTTTGCTCAAACTCATGTTCACTGAGTCGGTGATGCCATCCAGCCATCTCATCCTCTGTCACTCTCTTCTGCTCTTACCCTCATTCTCTCCCAGCATCAGGCTGGCAGGCTAATAAAACAATAGCGGCTGTACTGACCTAGTGGCATGTGCTATCATGGTTAACCCTCACAACTCCAGTGCAAGAGGGACATTGTTATTGCTCCCCATTTTACAGAGGGGGAAACTGAGGCTCAAAAACAGTTCACGTATATGTTGCTAGCATTTACTGAGTGATTACCTTGTGCTGTGTATTAGTTCATTTAATCCCCACAACAGCCATAAGAAGTCAGTACTATTACTATTCCCATCTGGGAAACAGGCACAGAGAGGTTAAGTAACTATTCAGAAATCACACAGTCAGTAAGATCTAGACAGTAGAGTAAACCCAAGTCCATCTAACTCCAAAAACCATGCTCTTTCAACTCAGCTCTGCCTCCCAGGTTTAAAGGCTAACTCATGTTGCAAAGGCCTCCATCACAGCCCAAAGCAAGAGGAATAAACATATATTCTAAGGAATCCTGTGAAATCTAAAAGGATGAGTATGGGGTGCAAGGATAAGCAGCCCCCAGAGGATAGAGGGTCCCAGAGGCCAGTGGAGCCTTGTAACCAAACACAGCATGTGCCTGCAGCATCCCAAGCTGTCCTTTCTGCAGCCTTGTAGGTTGCCACATAGGCAGACAAAATTCAGACCCCACCCAGAGCCCCGTGGACCTTTGGGAGATGCTGCTGAGTGTTTATGGAGGATCCAGGCCCGCCGGCGGCCAGGCCAGTTCCTTCCAGAGGAACCATCTGTGATCTCCTGAGTGGATGACAAGCCAAAGACAGATGAGCTGTGGCTGGGCTGCCTTTGACCACATGCCACCCACATGCCACCCCACACATCCTCCCCCGCTGGGGCAGCCCCTCAGCCCTGGGGACCACCAGAGGAGCAGACCCACAGGCAGAACATCGGAGTCTGAGTCCCTGGAGCTGAAGGCCATTCTCTGAGTCACCACCTTTAATGAGAAGGGAGGGAACGCAAAACCCAGGCCAGGAGGGAGAGCATTTGCTGGCTCCTTCCTGACTCTACGAGGTCATCTAAGCAGGGAGCAGAGGGATGTTCCGTGTCTCACAGAACACCAGCAGCCCAGCTGCCAAGCATCCGTACTGATGAGGGCTTAGTTCTGCTGCGCCTCCACTTCACTTGGGCCTTTGACCTGCCATAGCCTCTCCAGTTACAAATGGATCGTCGAGGTCTAGTGATCAAGGGAGGATTAAAGCTCTCAATCTACGGCACTGAACCTCCATCCTGACCAAGTACCGGTTCCTGACTGCTGATCCTTAGAAAGCCTTCATCCTCTGCTCCGGTTGTAAACAGTCCCCTCTGTGATGTGTGCAGGCACTCTGGTCTGTGCAAACTCCCAAGCTCTAGTTTTCCTGGGTCCAGCTTCCCAAACTCCTGGAAGCTTTCATGGAGATAAAGGGGCCCACAGCTGCTTGAGGCTGTGTCTGTTCTAGGACATGTCAGGGGAGCCCTGCTCCAAACCCCCCAAGATTTAAGGTTCTATTTCAGAGCCCATGACAGCTGGAATCAGCTTCAGCCTGTGCTTTCTAAAGACTGAGAACTGCTCTCAGATCGCATCCTGGTCTCCTGAACCATCTCGCTTTCAGAAAGAGACCTGATCTCTCAACGGGAGCTCTGGGTTTCTGCTCTGTACTCACCCCTCAACCTTAGCCCTGTGCCTCACCTGGCACAGGGCAGAGGCCCAGGGACTTTTTGCTGACTGATTGCGTGATATGTGGGGTTGACAGCCTCTTTTTAGTTTGAAAAGCCCCAGATGCAAGGGCAACTGACTTCAAGACTCCTCAGGAACCCGGGGTGGCCAGGCCCAGTGTTCGCAGCGCTTGTGAACCCCCAGGATGACTCTGAAATAACTCGTGAGACCTCAAGCTCAACCCTCACAGACAACATGGTTTAAAGAGCAGGCTGTTGACATGATAATCGATTCAAAGAGACTGTAACCAGCTATGCCTGAGAAAGAAGGACGCCAGGACGCAAAGTATGAACAAGTATTTTAATAACTCAAACTCCAAGTCACTGTGCTCCCAGTTCTGAAGAGATTCCTAAAAGAGGCAACTGTGGCCATTCCGGAAGCCAGCGCTCACCCTCCCGTTGTCTCAGCATCTCCCTCCTCTGGGTGCTGACTCGGAAGAAAGCATAAACACGCCTGGTACCATCCTGGCTCCCATGGGACCTTCCTCTTATCTATGCGTTACAGCAACAGCTTTAGCTGGACTAAGATGGTGACTCGGTTAAAGGAGAAGACAAATGCTGACTGTCCGAGCAGGGACGGTCCAAGCTGGCAAGAAAAAGCACACTGCGTACATAGGATACAGAAGGGAGAGCTTCTGCCTGCGGGTCTACAACGTTTTACATTGGCTTTTGCCTGCAAACTACCAAGAAGGGTTCTGCTGGCCAGTGTTTCTGCGGAACAAGCAACATGGCAGTCAAGTCTTGGGCATCCGGTGCCACCAGCCCCAGAGTCACTGAGCATCGTCCACCGGAGAGTCTCTGAGGGAAACATGGAGTCCAGCTCATGCCTCTGCCTACGGGTCAATTTCTTCGGGAATCACGGTGATCATAATGTCTTCGTTGCCCCGGCGGACAACCATGTTCAGGGTGCTTTCCTTCTTAATGACGTCGCTGACGTCGTTGGCGGAGACCACCGACTGTCCATTGATGCTGATGATGACATCATTTTCCTTGAGCCCCCCCCTGCAACACAAAGGGAAAAGCGATTGCACTGTTTCCATTTCTCCTGGTGTAGCTGCCAGGATAGGGGAGCAACTTTACATCTACAGAGGCACAGTTTAGGACCCAAGAGCCCAGAGCAAAGAGGATGGGATGGTAGCTAACTTATGTGAGAATGGCTTAAACCACCAATGGGTTGCATTAATCGCCTTTTGGGGCTTTTAGGCCACATCAGCGATCATGTACACTGCAGAATGCGTGCTAGCACTTGTATGATCTTATCACAGGATGACCCCAACAGAAGTGAGGACAGGCCAGCGACCTGGTGGCCAGCTTGCTTGTCATGGGTATTACAACTCTGAGAGCAGTACCTCCAGGTATGGTTCCACTGTGAGGCACCCACTTTGTTATTGCTGCTGTAACCTTAACTCTTGTGTGTGACAGCATCAAATAAGCTGTTATGCTCCTTAGTGGTCTAGAACAGGGGTCAGCAAAGTTTTTTGGTAAATGGTCAGAGAGGAAATATTTCAGTCTTTGCAGGCCAGACGGTCCCCATCACAAGAACCCAACTCTGCCACGGGAGTCCAAAAGCCACCACAAACCATATATAATCTGCTGGGCATGGCCGTGCCCCAGTAAGATTTCATTTACATAACACCGAAGCTTGAATTTCGTATGATTTTTAAGTGTCCTAAAATACTGTTCTTAATTAAATTATTTTGACCATTTAAAAATGCAAAATCTTTCTGTAAAGCAATTATCCTTCAATAAAAAATAAATTAATTTTAAAAAAAAAAGGAAAATTGAATCTTAACCCCAAAGCAGGCAGCAGACCAGATCTGGCCCCTGGGAAACAGTCTGCTGGCCACTCCCTGGTCTAGCACGTCTCCATGGATATCATTTCCACACAGTCTATGGGGTTGCAAAGAGTCTGACTCAACCAAGCGACTAACACTTTCACAGGTAATAAACCTGATTGCGGGTTGAGCAACTTCTTTTCATGTTACTTTGACGTTCCCTGAGCTCTTTTTCTAGAGGTGTGGATAAATATGGCCTGACTGGTAACACGCATAATTAGAGAAGGCCTCAGGAAGAGATGCCTCTAGCCTCAGGAAGAGATGCCTCTAGCCTCAGGAAGAGATGCCTCTAGCAGCCTAGGCCAGGATCACTGCCTGAGGTCCAACCCTCTTTCCCCAGCCAAGTCTGTCCCGGAGACTCCTTGCAAGTCCATCTGATTCCCTCCTGAAGAGGACTTCTAGCCAGGAAGCACCCTTCTGCCAACGAGCCCTGAGCTGAGTCAGGTCGGAGGCCCCGACCAGCAGGATGGACACAGATGTTGGACCATTCTGTCAAGGGTCCTCACGGTCACCTGAGGGGAGATGAAAAGGACAGTCCCCTGCCCCCTACCTCCAGGAAACACACGATTATCAGGAAAACGGAGGAGAGTTCTAACTCACGCTTCTGCGGGGGTATCAGGAATTACTTCAATGATATACGCTCCTGAAAGTACATCGGGGAAGTCTCGGTGGCGATCCTTCAACTCCTTGGCTTTGCTGCTTGGGAGAAAGAACACCTGGATTAACCATTAAGAACAACGGGGCTCCACTTGGCTTCTCCTCCATCCTTGATTCTAATATAAAATTCCAATGTAAAAAAGTCAGTTTTTTTTTTAATATTAAAGTCCCCTTTTTATTACTATTTTTAAATGTTTCTTCCTTTATTTATTTGGCTGAGCCAGATCTTCGTTGTGGCATGCAGGATATTTAGCTGCATCATGTGGGATCCAGTTCCCCAACCAGGGATCGAACTTACACTGGGACTGCAGAGTCTTAACCACTGGACCACCAGGGGAGTGCCCCTCCAGGGATTTTGATTCTGCTGCAAATTGCTTACTTCCTAGAGTCAAAGATTTACTGGATGACAGCAAAAGAAATGTTTTCGCGTTATCATTTTTATTAATTAATTGAGAGTAGCTAACCACTTAAGAGCCTGGCGTGTTGCGGTTCATGGGGTCACAAAGAGTCAGATACACACAACAACAACCACTTAAGAAGTCAGGACAGTGTAATGGCTGGCCTGCTTTGGAACCCCAGCTCTGCCCCTTCCTGACTGTGTGATCTTGGGCAGTTGCTTAACCTCTCTGCGCCTTGCTTTTCTCATCTGTTAAACAGGCACACTGCCATGGGGTTGTCATGAGGACCACATGATCTTATCTCCCATGCCCGGCATTGAGCAAGCACGTGAAAAATAGTGGGTAGGGTCCCTGTGGTTAGTGACCACTGCCATCACCCATTCACCCCAACTTTGACACATATTAAAATTTGCTCAGTGCTCACCACACACCAACAAGCCTACCCGGTTATCCTGATCCCAGAGAGGAGGAAATTGTGGCACTCAGGGCTCAAGTCATCCCAAGGTCACAAGCCAGGAAATAGTAGAGCTGGGATAGGAACCCAGGAAGTGGGATCCCCAGGCCCACATTCCCTCCCTTCCCTTCCCTACATCCCCCAGGCGTCCATCTCTCAGAGTTCCAAGACAAGGCCTGATGAACATTTCAGTCTTGGCAAGCCAGCTAAGAAAGGCACCACCATTTATCACACATGTCTAAACTAATAGTCGCGTGTTCACAATTAATTAATAGCCAGTTAATTACAGTAATTAAGATATTAGTATTTATATCAACAGGTTCTGCTCTTTGCTGACTTAACTTCCAAGAGTTTCAACCAGGCCCTTAGGTACCAAGACGCCTACAATCACACCAGCTTTTTTCATCAAGGTTCAAACACCAGTATGTCATGCATCTGGCAGCCACATACCGCAACTTTCACCAGCTCGGGGAAAACAAGCCCATCAGTCATGCCGGCCTGCCTGGCATTCCAGGAGCCCCAGCCCACGGGCGGCAGAGCTAAGGAAAGGCTGGGCGCTCTGGGGTGCTGTGGGAGGGGCTTAGGGCACTCCTGGAATGTGGGTTTCAACAGACCAGGTGGGGAGAGGCGTGGAGGTGGGGGGCGGGGGGCGATGACCGACCCCGGGCTCATCAGGCCTGCCTTCAAAGAGAAGTGTGGGCTTTCCCGGTGGCTCAGACAGTAAAGCGTCTGCCTGCAATGCGGGAGACCCGGAGTTCAGTTCACTTTCTTTTCTTTCTTTCAAAGAAAAGCAGAATCTTTCAGAAGGAAGGATCTGCTCAGAACCCCAGAAACAAACATGAAGGATAAAACAGCATGAAAGAAAGTGAAGTCGCTCAGCTGTGTCCAACTCTTTGTGACCCCCATGGACTGTAGCCTACCAGGCTCCTAAGTCCATGGAAATTTTGCAGCCAAGAGTACTGGAGTGGGTTGCCATTTCCTCCTCCAGGGGATCGTCCCAATCCAAGGACGGAACCCAGGTCTCCTGCATTGCAGGCAGACACATTGCAGGCAGTCTGAGCCACCAGTGAAACCCACATGAGGTCCAGGCTAATGACCCCTCCTCTCTTTCCTGATGGTACTTAAACCAGAAATGGAGCTGTCTCGAGGCAGAATGAGGTTTCTCTTTTTGGGGTGCCCTTGAGAGTCCTCTGAAGTTAGTCTGTTTTAAATTTAAGACACAGGGACACCCCTGGTGGTCCAGGGGCTAAGACTCAGAGCTCCCAATGCAGGGGGCCCGGGGTTCGATCCCTGCTCAGGGAACTAGATCCCACACGTGGTAACTAAGAGTTCACGTGTCACAACTAAAAGATCCCACGTGCCACAGCTGAGACCTGGCACAGCCACATAAATTAAATATTTGAATTTTAAACAAACAAATAAATATTTGAACTTAAAGAAATAAGTGAATTTAAGACACAGACAGAACGGACACCCCGTTACCAACCTGGGTGTGAGTGACATCATTCGGATGCCGATATACTTCTTCTTGGTGATGGCTTTGCCTGGTGGGACCATAGAAGGAAGCAGGTGGTCAGCCCAGTTGGCAGCTGTGCCAGGGACACCAGGAGCAGTGGGGTTCCATCCCCCCAGTTTGTCGTGTAAAGTCAGGGCCATACAGGGATGCTCTCAGCTTGTGGTTCAAATCCTGATTGGGACCCTACCTGCCTCCTCTCGCCCCCAACTAGAAGGTAAACAACACATCTGACAGGGACGCTGTTGAGCTTCAAACCCCCAGCCTGATGTTGGGCAGAAGAGTGACTAAACTTTCGTGGACTGAATAAGCTCCTTGAATCTCAGTTTCTCATCAGTAAAATGGGACTAAGTCCCACCTGATCAGGCAAAGGAATTAAATGACATGATGAATAATGCAGTGAAATTATGTACAGAAATCACCCAAGATCATGCCTGGTACATAACAGATTGAACCATACGAAACATGCATGATCATAGGTCAAAAAAAAACCAGTCAAACATGGATGCCCTAATGACATGCACTCCTTTCCCTTCTTGATAGGAAAGTGTGGCTGGCCTTCAGGGGTCATTTTCCATGCCTCCCAGTTTCCGAGGGGTAGCCAAGCCCCAGGCCTGACTCTCTGGTGGGCTGCCGGGGGCGCTTGCTTTACCTTTGGCTTGTCGATCATGGGATTCCGTTAGGAACTTTTTAATCTTATCAGATGGAATTGCAAAGGAGATTCCAGCTGTCACTTTGAGTGTGTTAATTCCAATCACTTCACCATCCTGAAAAGCAGAAGGCAAATAGCTTGCTGAACCCAGGAAGGTTCACCTGAAGACAGCCACCGAGAGAGAGTGGAGAATTTGCATGGAAGGCGTCCAGGAGCGTCTTCAGAGACATGATTGGGGTGGGGGCAGCCAGATGGATGGGGCTTCTGGGTCGCAGAGCGAGAGGTCTGCCTCGTGTGCAGTGTTAAGCTGAGCTGAGCAATGGAAGAACCAGCACCCACGGGACTCAGGACTGAGCGATCAACACAGTGAAAGCGCAGCATCAGAAAGTTTCAAAATGCACAAGTGCTCCTTGGGCGGGAATATGTGTCCAAAAGCCCCAGAGTCCTGCTCTATATAGCACAGGGAACTCTGCTCAGTGTTCTGTGGCGGCTGGGATGGGAGGGGACTTTGGGGGAGAACAGATACGTGCGTCTGTTTGGCTGAGTCCCTCTGCTGTCCACCTGAAACTATCATAGCATTGTTGATCAGCTATACTCCAAGATAAAATAAAAGTTAAAAAAACAAAACAAAAAACCTCAGAGACCTCTAGGTGGCTATCCACACCTTCCTGCTTCTCCCGTTTCCAGGAATCTTAAGATTCCTCAGCTGACATCAGGGAGGAACCATCTAGTGCTCAGGGCGGACAGACTTCATCACCAGCAAAACAAACCCTCATCTCCAGGCAGCCTCGGGGCTCTGGGAGAGGCGGAATCTCACAATCACATCTCATTTCCTCTGCTTGTTGCAAACCAGCTTTAAATCATGGAGGAAGCCAGTGTGTGTACTTCCATTCAAGATAAATTCACAGTTTAGTGAACACCACACCATAGGAAACCATCCTGGAATAACAGGCTCGCCTCGTGCCATCCAACCATTATTTTGAACACTGTTCTTAAGGGTTGTCCAACTCGGGCTTAGAGGGGAAAACTGCCAGGAGAGGGTAAGTCACTACTTGCACACTTCCCTTAGCACTGAGAATTCAGACCCCCAACTCCAAGGGACCATCCAGGAGGCACTGCCATCCTGCGCTTTGCTAAACAAGGCAGCTTAGATTTCATCACCTGTAAATGAGGGCTGGGATAGGGGACTCTGAGCTGCATCCTGGCTCTGAGGATCTGATTTTCATGCTTAAATAAAATACAAACTTAGGTGACATCTGTGTGAGTGGGGTAACTCCTCATTCCAAGCCAGGTCTTAAGGGAGGCTCCTGGCCAAGACAAAGCCTGTGGATGAGCCAAGCCAGCTCCTTAGGCAGCTGGGGGGCAGGCCAGAACTGCTGACACTTTCAAAATAAAGACTGGCTCCTTTAACTGCTCCTGGATCAGACCTGAATTCCAGTGCCTTTACTTGTAACGTGGAGACACAGGCATGTCCGCTGGCATAGCATTTCCAATCCAAACACCAGCATGCCTTACTCTTTCCAGAAAAGATAAGAAGAGACGTTTGCAAGGTACAGTACGGTCACAGATTTCAATTTGAAAGGATTAGATAATATGCTTTGGCAAGTTCATGTCTGAAAAGAAATCAAAAGGGGGAGAAAGAAAAAGACACGTAGATAGATTTTTTGAAAGCCTTACCAGGTTTACTAATGGACCTCCGGAGTTTCCATACTGAAAATAAGCAAAGATTAAAAGGTTATGAGTTTATATCATTACATGGTCCAATCTACCTCCCTGCCTGGCATGCCCCTGAGTGCAAATTCTTTCCTGAGATTTCTTCCTGTCTACCTAATATTTTGCTGGCAAAACAAAGGATCTTAACAGTTTTCAGAGAGTTTTAAATGTACCATAAATGGGGTATTTATATATTGATTTTTTTTTCTCCAAAGCCCAGAAGCCAACATCAAATTCCCAAAACACCTGACACATTTTCCCTCTCTCGACAATAAGTTGGCTACCCACTTGCTCAATGTGGCAGTCTTTCAAATCTGCGCCATCCCCCTCCACATCTATGTGACCCCTACTTTGCTGCTGGGCCTGAAAATCCACATGGTTTGCTCTATTTCCATTACTTCATGCAGATCACAAGAAGGTTTGGGAATTAAGCCTACTAGAAGCAGCGAGTGCACAAAACACGCTGTGTTTCTTATTTATTAGACAGATGGAGGGGAAAATGCTTTTTGAGAAACGTCAATCCTAAAGGGAAATAGCTGAAGTGGAAAAATGTGACTTAAAATTAAGATTCCACCAATGAGATTGTGTGGGACAATCCCTGACCTCACTGGACATCGAATGGGTTGGCCTGGTGCTCAGACTTTCTGCCCCAGAGACAGCAGAAACACCTCCGGGGGCTGCAGAGCCTGGCGAAGCTGAGCATCCCTCCTTCCACAAGGCTGCACAGGCAGCTCAAGCCAGGGGTGGCCGACCCTGGGGCAGGGCGGCGGGGGCATGGAGAACTCCTCCGGGCTGCAGACTTGGGCGAATCTCAAGTGCCCGTCACAGGAGTCCCTGGAGACTGCCAAAAGGCCGAGGACCAGCCCTTCTGCCTCGTCTGCTTTAGGGTTCAAAAGGACCCCCTTGGAAGCACCAGGAGGATCTTGACTCCACCCCGGTTCCTGAGCCCAGCACAGCTTCCCAACTGCAGCCCGACCCTGTGGCAGGCGGGCTCACGTTGATGATGGCGTCTGTCTGGATGTAGTCCATGTCGGAGTTCCGGAGCCCCAGTTCCTTGCCACCGCGCTGGGTGGTGCTGACGATCCCAGTGGTGACCGTGTTTTGGAGGGAAAACGGACTCCCGATGGCGACCACGAACTCTCCCGGCCGCAGCTCTGAGGATCGGCCAAGCAGTAGCACGGGCAGCTTCCCCTGGAAACACAAGGTTGGCGTCGCTGCGTCGGGTTAAGTGAGCAAAACGGGCAAACGCACGGATGTCACGGAACGCCAGGCACAGGGGCCGCTCGTATTCACCAGGCCTTGCCGGAAACCACGGTCAGGAGTGACCTCCCTTCCCAGCTGAGGACTAACGTCCCTCCCACCCAAGATAATCAGGGCAGGTCAAGTGCACACTGCCGCCGCACGCCAGGAAAGACGTGGGATGGATACTGGAGGCCAGCCAGCTCAGGGTCTCAGCACATCTTCAACCTGTCAGCCAGACTTGCTCCGAAACCTTGAGGCCAAGAGACAGAGGAGGACGAGTATAGGATTGGGGCAAGCCTGACCGCAGGCGTGGTAGAGAGCGAAGTCCCAGGCAAGGATCTAGAGGCCACAGCCCCCGGGGAGGGGAAGAGTGGATTGGCCCCCTCTTATTGTAGGCACATCCCTTCTAGGCCTTGAAGAATCAGGAGCTCTGAGGGTTTGGAGCTCCCCTGACTCAGTCCAGGGCATCTTTGTGCTAATTCTGGTGACAGGCAGAGGTGGGGTTGGGGACAGCAAGGCATCCAGGGCCACTGGACACCAAGACCCAAGAGGCAGGCTCTCTCCTCTCCTGGTAAAGTCCTCCACCACCATCTCTGCTTCCTCCGCCCCAGGGGGGCTGATTAATCCAACGAAGCCTGCCTGGTCCCCAATGACCTGTGAAGGCCAGTAGTCAGGAGCCCCAAACTACTCTTCAAACCAAAACAGGACAAAACAAAGCCAGCTCGAGTCCCAAGGGCTGAGGAGCGCGGGGCTTCTATCCCGGAGAGCTCTAAGCTCTCCTCCCTCCCTTCCTTCCCGGAGCCAGGCAAACCTCCGAGTCCCTCTCGCATTTGCTTCCTGAGTCAAAATGAGCAGCTGCTCCAAGCAACAGGGACCAGCCCAGAAAGGAAAGACCTGGCCCAGGCCTCACGCTAATTGCAACGTAAGAGTCCTTGTGTTTGTCCGCCTTGATAAAGAAGGAAAGAGGAGAGGAGGCTGGGAGGGCGCGGTGGGTGGAAACCAGCTGTGATTTCAGCATCGCCTCTGCCAGGAACAGAGCAGAAACCAGCTGATAAGATGGGGAGGTCACTGGGCCCATTTAACAGATGAAGAACTGAGGTGCCAAGCAACTGGGTGACTTGAGATAGGCCAGGGGCTTAAAACTACAACACTGAACCCAGACTCTCATCCACTACAAAGGTACTGAGCCACAAAGACCCCATCTGACCCCAAATAAGGAAGATGCTGGTCAGGAACATGTTGGATCAGAAAACTCAACGGCTTCCCTTGCATGGTTCAGATGGTAAAGAATCTGCCTACAGTGCAGGAGACCTCGGTTCGATCCCTGGGTTGGGAAGATCTCCTGGTGAAGGGAATGGCAAGTCACTCTCGTATTCTTGGCCTGGAGAACTGCATGGACAGAGGAGCCTAGAAGGCTGCAGTTCGTGGAGTCACAAAGAGACACGACTGGGTGAGTAACACACACAGACACAGACACACACACACACACGTGAAAAATGATGCCCCTCAGATCACAGACACTAAGAGGCCTAGAAGAGCGCCACGGTCCAGAGCTCAGACCAAGCGGCCTGATTAGATTCTGGCCAGACCTTACAACCATTCTGGTCCTCGGTGTTTTGACCTGGAAAATGGGAATAATGCGGTTCACTGATCTCATCGGTTTGATGTGAGAATTCAGCAACTTGGGAACTGAATAGCTCTGTGAATGGCACCTGTCAGTGAAACATCATGTAATTGGGGCATGTAAGTATCAGGTGTGTTACTGTGACTAACGACAGGGTCTGTGCAGACTCAGTGGGGGAGACCCCACCAACTAAACTCCCACAGAGTAGTCCAAGCCTCCCAGCCCTCACCGCCCGCCCCCCGGGAGGAGGCTGCGGGCACAGGTCTGCCCTGACAGTGACACTGTGCCCTTGAGGCCCCCCGAGGAGGCAGTGCATGGACCTGCTCTGGAGTGGGGCAGGCCTGCAAGCCCCCACTCCCGAGCACATCTATAAGTGAGCCAGTGAGCTCAGCAGGGCCTGTTTACCCTGGGCCTGTGCCAGCTGCCTCTGCCAGGGGGAATGACTTCATCCAACAGCCGCAGGGGGTGAGCGGACAGGAGTCAGAGCCGGTGATGAGCACTCGGCCACCCTGGGGGAGGTCTGCCGGGCAACACTGCCACTCCTTCGGGACCCAGGGACAGCCTTCAGGGCTGGGCTGGAGGGCTGGACATGGCGGCCATGGCCCCCGGGCTGGGTTCTCCAGTTGCTTTTCACCAATTTCAAGGCGAGAGGTCAAGTTCAAACACAGAAGGTGGGCCCAGACCACATCAGTGCAGCAGCAAGCCAGGAACCACATCAGAAACTTACATGGGAGGACTCACTGTGGAGTCTTAATTAACATCTGCTCATCTTCCAACCGTGTCCCTTTACCTCCACCCTAGGAAAGGGGGCCAGACCCAAGGGGCCACATCACAGTGGGTTTCTAAGGAAGAAGAGCCCGAAGACAGGCTCCCTGGAACCTCTCCAAGTTCTGGGTCTCCAAGTCTGAGCTCAGACCCAGGGCCGAGGAAAGCAGGTGATGCTATGGGGAGCAGAAGCCGTATGGATGGAGGAGAGAGTCCCCAGGAGGAAGGAGAGAATCGAGGGCCCATGTACGGATCAGGTCAGCTGCGTTCCCTGCAGAGGACCAGGCCTGCAGCCAGGAACAGGACCCAGAGGACCCCAGGTACCAGCTGGGCTCCAGGGCAGTAAAGTCACTCACTGGAGTGACCGTACAGGCTGGGGCCGGTGGACACCAGCGATACAAGCCCAGAGTCTCCCCAGGGACCACTCCTCACTTCAACACAAGGGGAAGAAATTCAGCTCACAAGCGGTCATTGAGCCAAACCCGCAGCAACGGCAGCACTGAGTGTCACCTTGTTTAATTTTTATTCACAGAAACATCTCCTAGATTCTAAGGGACAATCATAGGACAGAAATAAGCAAGTGGACATATCTCAAGGGGGATTCTTAGACTATGAAGCTTGGACTGATGTGGAAGGAATGATCTTTTACCCCCCAGGTGACAAAGCCCTTTTTCACAACCGCCTTGGCAGTTAGTGCACATTTCTCCCCATTTTACAGATGTGGAAACTGAGGCTCAGAGCCAAACTGACTCCTCACAGCTCACAAGCAGCCTGGCTAAGTGAGAGAACAGGCTTCCCACCTCTTAGAGCTTCACTCCTCGTCAGTGTTAATCTGAATTCTAATTGTAGGCCTAAATCTTTGCAAGGAAGTGACAGGGGCTGGCAATGTGGGCCAGGCCAGATTTACAGCCCGTCAGGAGGTCAAAATGCCTCTCGTGGGCCAGTTGGCCTCTGCTCTCCGCAGGTGCCGGCTGGCCCCGTGAGCTCCAGGCTCTCCAGCCTGTTTTAGGTACAACAGGGGCTCGTTCTCGGCCTCTCTCCTCATCTCGGGCCTGTCTGCTTGATGCAGCGATACCTCCGCTGGCCAAATTCCTACTTGGTAATTGAGCATTTTATTCCATAGCTGTCTAGACACACACTCCACAGGGGGACCTGGGGAAGATGCAATGCAGATACAGTGGGAAGCGCCAAGACATGCCTCAGCCTTGACCTAGGGATGGGAAAACCCCGGGCCCACCTCCCTCAACCCCCTCCCAATTCCTGGTTTAACCCTGCGCTGCAGTCCACAGGCTAGTTCCCACACTGCCCACATCAAAGCTGTCTCCTGGCTCCTGCCGGCAGACACTCTGTCTGAGCCTCCCTCTGCAGCAACCCAGCCACAGGCCATCTTGGAGATGCCAGCCTGGCTTCTGACAGCCGCTGCCCACATCTCCTCACCTCGCTGGAGCCTCGCAGCACGCCTATGAAGAAAACCCGCCGACGTTCATCCTCTGCTTGGCAGGCGGGAGGAGCAGGGGGGAAGGAGGAAGAACAGAGCAGACATACAGCTCCTGTTCCTCGTCTTCAGGTTCTCCAGCCGTTGGGGGGGAAGGTGAAATGCAGCCGGGCACGCGGCAGAGCAGGGGTGGAGAGCTCATAGTGGCAAGAGCTCAACCCCGAGGCTCCAGACCAGAGCCGAGCAGGAGCCCTTGGACCTCACCAGGAGAGCCTCATGTTATCCCAACCCCTCCAGCAAGAGGGGCATCCCAAAGTGAGTCCATCATACTGCCTGTCCTCAAGGTCACGCTCTTGTTCATGAGGAAGAGGAGGCTGGGAGGCCAGTGGGAGAGGCAGGAAGTCTAAGTTGAAAGGCATGTGGCCCTCAGCCTGTAAGTGACTCACTTGTGCTAAATGCCAGCCCCACAGCAGAGTCAGCAAGAGGGGCTGGAAGGCAACACGGATCCCCCGGGTCATTGGCCATGCCACCCAGGTCGACGGAGAAACAGCCCGGACGGGGGTGTCAGAGTCTTGCATATGGACTCCAGACGCACCATGTCCATGTTAAGTCACTAACGATAAGCCGTAGGCAGGATACGAACGGTGTGATAGATTTACTGCTAAAGGCATGTTTTACTGCTAAAACATACACAGCATGATTAAAGAAGGCTCTAACCATTCATTTAGATGACAACAAACAAATGAACCACCACCAGCAGGCCTGGCAGTACCTCTCCCGTGAAATAATGCCTACACGAGAGAGAACCTTCTCAACAAGTATTCACCCGGCACAGGGATCACAAAAGATCAATGAAATCCACCCCTGCCCTCCAGGATCACTGTCTGACGGGTGGGTAGACACACAAATCGTCAGGACACACAGCAATAAAAAGAGCTAAAATCCATCCCCTCCCTAGGGGCAACTCAGCAGAGAACCTTCCGTAAGAGCTAAATATAGATCAACACTAAAAACGATTTGAGTGCATTAGTTAGGGTGCTTTTTTTTTTTCAGCTGCAAGTAAGAGAAAAACCAATGCAAATAAAATAAACATCCACCTGCTCAAGGACAGAGCAGTGGGAGGGC